TTTCAGTAAATAATTATTTAATTCACATTAATACAGGAAAAACTCATGTATTTATAAGGGGAGGGTTATATATATATATATATATAGGGGAGGGTTATAGTGAGAACCCCTTTAAAATGAGAACTCATTTAAATAGATATGATATATATAAATAGGTGTAGAGAGAATTGGAGAAGATGAAAACGGAGATGATTAGAGAGTATTTCAAATACGCGCGTGGTTTGCTTCGGGACCAAAAAAGGGGGAGTTTCAAATATGATGATGCCTCCCTGCCTAAAGCAGAGGTAAGAAAAAATCCATGTTCCAAAGTTCATGAATTGTATTTCTTGTGCAACATCATTGCTACATAGAGATAAATTAAACCTTAATGCATTGCATCAAAAGCACCAAGGTTTAAATAATATCAAATTTTGTTAGCTTCCAAATCTTTGATTATTCATATTTTTTGTTTGACAAGCATGAAGAATCTATCTCTCCTCTTCCCCCACAAGTGCATATGCATGAATTAGGGTCGTCGGACAAATTAGGACCGAATCGAATCAAACCGAAAAATGGTACTTTGGTTTGGTTCGATTTGGTTTTGTTTGGGTTCAGCTATGTAAACAGTTTGGTAACAACATGCTCAAATCGAATGTTTTGGTGTGGTTTTAAATCGAAAAAATCGTACTCTGAACAATATTTCATATTTATTAAAAATTACTTTGTATATACTTAGGATGTTTTTACTTGGACTGTAATTTGCTGGTCTGGTCTGGTCTGATCTGGTCTGGTCTGAACTGGTCTGGTCTGGTCTGGTAAGGTCTGGTTTCTTTGTATTTTTATAACTATCCAAGTCTGGTCTGGTCTGGTCTGAACTGGTCTGGTCTGGTCTGGACTGGTCTGGTCTGGGGCAAATTACAGTCCAAGTAAAAACATCCTTACCCCCATCGTAGGTGGTAGAGCTGTCAAACGAGCCAACCCGGCCCAACCCGACCCGACCCGTAATAGGTTATGCTTTATGTGGGTTGGGTCGGGCCAACTCGTTTAATGACGGGCCAGAATTTCTACAACCCTAACCCAACCCACCTAACCCATGGGTTAAACGGTTTGGCCCGCGGGCCAATGTAAAAAATACATATAACAGAAAATTCTTTAAAAAAAATTACCCCGAAGTATATATTTATATTAGTAAGTAGTAATAAAGGAAATATAACAAATCAAAATACTAAAAAGTCAATACTTGTTAAGTTTAATTAAAAAAAGAAATACTACGTTTTAAATACTAGTTATACGAGAATTTGAAAACTATAAGTGGGTCAACAACAACAACATTCAAGCCTTAGTCCCCAAAGATATTGGGGTCAGCTAACATGAATCGATACATGATATCACCACCAAAATATTGGGGTCGACTAACATGAATCGATACATAAGAGGGTATGTGACAAAAATACTCATTGTATAAAAATAAAGATCTACATAAACCTTTTGATTGATTATTTGTAAATAATGACTACTAATTGTTAAATATTGTATCGAACTTCACATAAAATATACGTTTCAACATTTTATTTGAATATTTATTATAGAAATAAATATTGTTTTGTCATGGTTGTAATTTTTTAGTTGTGATTATAATAATATTGGTAGTAAAAGAACAATATTTAAGATAATAAAATTCAAAACTATATTTTTGTATTTTGGCCCGCGGGCCAACCGCAACCCGGTGGGTCAACCCACTTAAACCCGCAACCCGCGTGGGTTGACCCGCGAAACCCGCGAACTAAATGGGTTAGAAAATCTCAACCCTAACCCACCAATAAATGGGTTTAAACGGGACGGCCCGCGGGTTTTGACCCATTTTGACGGCTCTAGTAGGTGGGGAGCCTTTGTGGCATTGGGGTAATAATGACGATGATTAAAAAATACGAGTACTTTGTATTTGTATTTACTCCTCATCCTTAGAATCTAAATAAATAACTTAGATATGAAAAACACCTGTTTAATATATACCATTTTAACTTTTACATGTTTTATACTTCCCTTATGACAAAGATGTTTTAAAAACACATGTTTACATATTTATTCATAAAACATACTACTGAGTATTTGTTATATTTGTTTGAAAAGATGATTGACAAAGAGAATATTACATTGTGTTTATATCAATTTCAGTTAAACTAGAATATGTTATACTTGGTACATTTTTCGTGATTCATTTGAATAAAAATATGAACTTTACAACATTTCTTACCATCTCCCATATTATTCTTTGAATATTTTATGTGATGTTATAAATGCTAATGAATCATAACCTTAACTTTTGTGAGAGATGAATCTTTTTCCTAGTGGTTGTGAAGATGAAATTTCTGATACATAATTTTTCATGCTATCGTTCATTCAATAAGACAAATTAGATGTTAATTTATACTCTGATCCTTAAAACTTTACCAAGTTTGACCGGCATGATAAATAATATAGTAAAAACGGTATGATTTAGGTTTATGCAGGGGAGAGAGAAACATGAACTACTAATCAATTGATTAAAATAGAAAGTGACAAAGTTTTTGGTAAAACCAAAAGGGAAAGATGACAAAATCATGGACCAAGAGAATAGTATTTAATTATATCTTTTTAGGGTTTGCAAATAATATTACTGAAGTAAAACTTATTACAAAAATATGACTAAAAGTTATTATAGTATATTGTCGTGGTTACTTAAGTGTAAATGTTGAACATAACTTATCATGACTAAAGTTATAATTATAGTCACTAAACTTAATATGTCACATTTTTTAAACAATTTTTATTTATGTCATAGATATGTAATTTTTTTCTATCATTTATCCTCCTTCACATTTTATTTAAATAAAAAATACGATAAAGGGAGGTGGATTTGTTTCCCCTAAAAGTAGAACTTCTATAGATCAATAAACTAATAAGCATATGAAACCGAATCAAGTCGCATTAAATTGAACCAAATTGTTTTCGCATTATTGTACAACCGGCTGTACAGTGAACACCGTACAGCCGGCCCATAAACAAGCCCAAGGGAAAAATAGTAAAATAATTCGGTGGCATTTTTGTAATAATGTGAAAATCGCGGTTTATACTAAATGAGCATTAGTGTACTGTTAATGAGCAATAGTCATTAACACACTTTTGAGTCAGTTGCAGGTCCAAGTGACCATGCGAGAACTTCCATAGGGCTCATCTAATATAGATAGATCGATGATTGGAAGGAAGTCCTGCTGTTGCAACATAGAAATCACCAACATGTTCAGGCCATCGCTTTAGAGTTTATCTCTATAGTGATGATAACGAGTGTCTTCACGACCTCGGGGGGCTACGATTTGCATTGCTGATCTTTATGATCACGCCTTAACAACCAGAGTGACATCTACTTCAGATGCTTCACAATGATTGGTTGGAAGTCCTGTTAGAGCTGTAATGCTTATATCCTCGAGTGTGTGGACCCTCGAGGATATAAATCAATTTGAGAGAATGAATGTAAAGAGAAAAGGTTGAACCAATAATCCTTCTTCCTCTATATACTTTTTAGTATCACAGTCCTTTGCATAAGTTGTTGGTTTGAATTAAAGTTGCGTTTGGTTTTTTCGGCTTTGTTTTTTTATCAAAAACATAATTAAAGTAAAAAGTTTGATTCGGTTCCGTTTTGCATTTCAAAACATGAAACCATGGTTTGATTCGATTCATTTCGGTTTGACTTTAGATTTTGATTTTTCCAATTTTTCACAAAAAATGTTCTCACGTGAACAAAAAATGATACAATAATTGAGAGGAAAATCAAACTTATAACATTAAACATAATACAATCATAATAGAAAAGAAAAAGAGAAGGGAAAAATATATATTTAACTATATGTAAAAAACACATATTTTTCCAGGTTTGTTGAAGCAAAGTGTTGACTAAAATTATATATTATCTATAGAAATGTTAAAGTTTTGATGTAGAACTTAGAAAAAGATTAGATAAGTAAGTGTTTTCTTAATTTATAATTTTGATGTTTAATTAAAAGAAATCATTAATATATACATTCTATGAGGTATAACTGAGATTTACATTTATTTACTCTCAAATAGAAACTTTAGAATATAAAAAGTTTCTTGAGCTTCTGTTTAATTTGGTTGCGGACTTGCGGTTTAATTTATTACTCCCTCCGTCCCGTTGGGATGTTCCCGATTTGACCTACACACATATTAAGGAAATAAACTTACCAGGGGGTAAATTTTACTGTTTTGACACTATTTGGGGACTGTTTGGACACTGTTTGGCACTGTTTGACACTGTTTTGCACTGTTTTGATATAGGATAACTTTCCATTTAGGAAAATGAGAACTTCTTTTTGGGATTGCTAAAAAAGAGAAGCATGAACATCCCAACGGGACGGAGATAATATGATTCAGTTTCGGTTTTTCAAACCTCACCCTAGTTCTAATTCTATTCAATATCTTGAGCTCCTACCTAAAGTTTGGTAAATTCTTCGATTATTCCACACATATTTCATTGCATACGCCTAGGGTTGTATATGATTTAAATAATTTATGCTCAATTAGGGATTCGGATTCGTATAAGATTTGAATTCCAAAAATTCAAATAAGAATACTAAATTTGATTCAAATTGTTATCAAATACAAATAAAAATTTTAGTATATTCGATTCGAGTGTTAATCAAATATATTCGATAAATATTAGTTACAATAGCATAATAATAACAATAATAGTAATAACACTATAATAATTTCTCAAAACTAGTTATACTCTCAAAATGTAGCCCATATATGCATTTACGTATACACATTCCAAGCCCATTTATAATAAATCAGAAGTATCATACAGAGTAAATGTTGTAAATGAGGCAAATAATTTGATTAGATTCTTGATTTGGATTCAAGAACTATTATTTGAATTCAAAAATATATAGAACCTGAATACAAATACAAACGGAACTTTATATTCGAACATCTTTGAAATACAAATTGAAATAATTATGTATATTCGACTAATTAATACTCCATATTTAATTTATGATCAATCAATTTGATATTCGTATATGATTCATTAACTATTCGTATTATTAAACGAATACAAATACAACTCAAAATTTATATTCGTTTCATATTTGAATTCGGATTCGAATTCGAAAAAATTAAACAAATACTAATACAAATATCACACTATTCGACTCGATCCAGTTCGTTACAACCCTACATGTGCCACATAAGCACCAAGCAACTTCCTTCTTGGACCGAAGTATCCATCTCTCGACTTCTGATTACACCCTCGGGATAGGCTAGACACCATCTAATGTTTTGTCTTTAATGTCCCAACCCTTGAGCATAGGCTTTTCGGATTCATATTCGGAAAAATTAAACAAATACGAATACAAATATCACACTATCCGACTCGATCTGTTTCCGCTACAACCCTACATGCGCCACATAAGCAGCAAGCAACTTCCTTCCTGGCGAAAGTGTCCATCTCTCGACTTCTGACTAAACCCTCGGGATAGGCTAAACACCATCTAGTGTTTTGTCTTTAATGACCCAACCCTTAAGAGGGGGTTATCCGTTTCTCTAACTATTAATGAAGGCTACCAACAAGAGAAGAGTAGACATTGTCATCAGGAATAAGCCCTGCCTCTAGCATCTCATTGTACAACCCGAAAGCTTCCTGTGCTCGCCCCGCTTTAGATAATCCTGAAATCAATGCTGTATAGGACACCACTGTCGGGACCAAACCCCTGCTGCTGCCCATCTCCCTGAAGAGTCTCAAAGCTTCATCCACATTTCCACACATGCATTCCCCATTAAGAAGTGAGGTATATGCATACACATCTGGGCTGATCCCTTCGTTCACCATTTTCCCCCTCACCTTGTACGCTTCCCTCATCAACCCTTTCTTGCAATATCCGTCTATAAGTGCATTGTATGTCACCACGTTAGGTCTCAACCCCTTTTCCTCCATCTCGCGCACCGTCCTTTTCGCGTCCACAAGTTTTCCTTCCTTACAGTAAATATCGATCAATGTTGTGTATGTAATCACATTCAGCTTCACGCCTTTTCCCTCCATCGACAACAACCAATTCTTTGCATCCTCGTGCCGCTTCAGCTTACACAACCCCGTGGCTATGATATTGTATACATACACATCAGCTCTGAGACCTTTCCCTTCCATGATTTCAAGAAGCTTCCATGCTTCATTAATCATTCCTTTCTTACAATACCCATCCATCAATGTGTTGAATATAACTTGGTTCAAGCTTACTCCTTTCGATTGCATCTCATGAAGCAAGATTTTCACTGCTTCCATTTTCCCGCTTTTGCACAGGCCGTTTATCAGAGCTCCATACGTGTGGGTGTTTGGAACAACCCCTCTCTCAACTAATTTATCAAACAGTAGAAACGCAGTTTTAATATTACCAGCCCTGCTGTAGCTGTCGATCATGCAAGTGTACAGATGAATGTCCTGATCTATGTTACCCTGCTGCATTTTGTCAAACAGTTTCTCCACCTCTTCAAATTTTCTCAGTTTTGAATAACCCTGTATTAGAACGGTGTAGCTTGTAGCATTTAGCTCCACTCCTTCCTTCTCCATCTCTTTTAAAATCTCATTTATGGGGCCAAGCTCAGACGAATTCTTCATACACCCAACCAGTAACGTGTTATAAGTATATTCGTTAGGCTTGACACCTCTACGGATCATCATATCATTCAACAATTTTCTGGCTTCATGTAATTTCCCCGTTTTACACAACCCATCAACCACCATTGTCATTGAATAGACTGTGATCTTCACGTTTGCAACCAACATTTTCTGGAAAAACGCAAACAATGAGTGGAACTGATTGGACCTTTTGGCTGCAAGCAAGAACACCATACAAGATCTCTCATCAATCAAAAGCTCGTTGTTGTTCATATAGTCAAAGACCTCCATCGCTTCCTTAAGCTTCATGTGGTCTACATAAACCCTAAGCAACATGTCCATCAGCTTTGCAACCAGTTTGGGATTGTTTCCTGTCTTCTCCCTGGCGAAATCTGCTACTTGAGACACAGGGCGCGAACTAAGACGGTCGTCAACAGCTACGGATTCCAGGATCTCCTTCCCTTCAGCAAACATTCTGGCTCTGAACAAGCGCAGAGCGAGGGTAACGTGGGCATGAAGGTCGGGTTTGTTGAACGTGGATGAACTGTTGTTGTTTAAGAGAAACCTGAAGAAGTTGAAGCAGGCAAGGTGGGGGATGTGGGGGTGCGAGAGAACGGTGTGGACCACATGGGAATTGATGCCGGAGATCAGAAGAGAAGGGCTGATATCCAACCCCCTCGACCTTGTTAGGGTTTTGAAGATTGAATTGGCGATTTCTGAATCTGATTTTCCGGGGAACACTTGCTTGAAAATCAACGGTTGAGCAGCCATTTCTCTGCTATCTAAGCCTCTACGCACAAACACCCATCTTTCCGTTCAATTACTACACCAAACATCCAAGTCCTCCCTCCACAAACTATCAAATATTCCTCTGCTCCACCGATAAATCACGATTCGGAGGGAGTGCCTTGGCGCAGTCGGACGAGGAAGATGAAGCTTCAAGATGCGGGCCGTGAGATCTTGGCCGTTGAAGATTTGGTCGGACGATACCAAATTGATTTGACTTTTCTTTGTCAGACAGTTCCATTTTATTCGCTTAATTAAGATGTTATTTTAATTATATTTTCATTTGGAGTTTGCAAATTTGAAGAAATTTTAATGTAGTTTCTGAATATGTAATTCTTAATACTCCATCCGTCCCTTTTTAGTTTGTCAAATACAAATTTTCAAGTCAAAGTTGTTCAACTTTGACCGATTATATATTTATACACGGTAATATTGATAATAAGAAAATTATATGAAAATGTTCTTTGTGGAAAATACTATCATAAAAGTATAAATTTATTAACTTTTACATAAATATATTAGTTAAAATAATGGATCCAAGTTTATCATCTTTGACTGGAAAAGTTAAAGTTGGCAAACTAAAAAGGGACGGAGGTAGTATTAAAAACTGAATTAACTATCGATAGGGATGATTGACTTTTATTGTTGGTTGATAAAAAATATTGACTTTGCAAAACAATTTGGGACGAAGGGAGTATAATCTTATCGATGACCTAAGTTTTTTTTGTATACGTTTGAAACATACTAATAATCACATTTTCCACAAATCATTTTGTATCTTTCCTTCTTTTTTAACTCCACCATGAGATCATTTTGTGGTATCATACATGTCCCAAGCCAGGATAAAGGAGGAGAGTGTTGTGGTAGGCGCGTGACGGTCAACAGTATCACTTAGTCACATCACATGAAGCGTCAAGTTTCTTCACATCACATGACGGTTAACAGGTTTCTTCAACATGATTTGGAGAAACAACAAGATGCCAATGAGTTGGAGGAAGAGTACTCTTATCCTCTTATTCAAGAATAAATGTGATGTACAAGAATGTGTTAATTATCGAGGGATTAAGCTTATGAGTCACACCATGAAACTTTGGGAGCGAGTGATTGAGCAAAGACTTTGAAGAACTGTGAAGATTTCAGAGAATCAATTCGGTTTTACGTCTGGCCACTCAACAACTGAGGCCATTCACCTTCTTCGGCAACTTACGGAGAAGTATAGAGACACTCACAAAGATCTGCATTTGGTGTTCATTGACTTAGAAAAAGCTTATGATAGGGTACATCGAGATGTTCTTTGGTGGGCCTTAACTAGAAAAGGCATATCACGCAAGTATATCAGCATCATAATGGATATGTATGAGCATTGTACTACAAGTGTCCGTACTAGTGTAAGGAAGACTGCAGAGTTCCCTATACTATCGGAGTGCACCGAAGATCGGCTCTGAGCCATTTCTTATTTTCCATAGTCATGGATGAACTTACGAAGTCAATTCAAGACGAAATACTGTGGTGCATGATGTTTGCCGACGATATTGTATGAGAACAATCGGGTCTTAAAGCAAAGTTGGAAGTATGGCGACAAACATTGGAGAATAGAGGTTTCAGACTAAGTCGGACCAAGACAGAGTACATGAAGTGCAAGTTTGGTGGAGGTAGAAGCAGTGGTAATAGCGGAATTACTCTAGATGGTAAGGAGATACCGGTCAGCGATATGTTCCGTTACTTGGGCTCCATAATTCAGAAGGACGGTGAGTTAGATGGAGATGTATTCATAGAATCAGAACAAGGTGGATGAAGTGGAAGAGTGTGTTGGGATTTTTATGCGATCGAGGTATGCTGTAACACCCCCATTTTCCCTACCAAAATAATACATTTAAATAATGTTTATTTCAAAGGAGTTATCAATTTCATTTGAAAATATCAGAAATACAACGGAAGTCTTTATTGGGAAATGGGTGTTACCGCCACATCCGGTCATCTCTTAACCGAATGCACAGACAATCACAAAACAAAACAAAACAAAATAAAACAAGTGTTCAACATAATTGAATTATAATTCTTGACTAGGTTTGACTAAGGCATATCTCAACCGCTCTCAAGACCATGTGATCATCAGTCCACATAAGCATCATTACCTGCACAAATAAAGTGCCGAAAACAAAACAAGGAAAAGGACACAAAAATTAGCTTTAAAGCTAAGTAAGTACTACCCAACCCCGTAAAATAATCAGGTTTGTCAAAATAGTTTCTATATATAACTATATCCTTGAAAATCCATTTCCTTCCCACAAAACAATTTTCGTATTTAAAATAATATTTATGAACTCTAAGTAACTCACACCTTCATATACAGCTATACAAGTATCACTTTCAAAAAATAACTTTATAGCTAATCACTCTTTTTAAATATACTCAATTTCTCTTTGAAAATAATCTCCATAGTCTTCCTCTTTAATTTCCAAAACCAAAATTTCCTACTTTCTTTTAAGATGAGCGGTACTTTCGGATACCTATGCCCGAAGCCCAATGAGTCGTTTGTTATTTACGAAATCATCCCGGAATCCGGTTCCCATCACTATCTCTTGAATTGAAACGACTACTAAACTTGTTCTCTTCAAGTAGTAGTAGCCCTAACCATCCTCCACATTTATCCGGATGTGAAAAACCGACACCACGGATTTCTCCCGGGGTGCTCACCTCTTATGAAAATGTTAATTTTCATCTTGAATCAAGATATACTTCAAAATATTTTCCCAAACTCTCTAAATAGTCAAAATGATATTTAAAAATATTTAATACCCCAAAATTACATAATTTGTATTTCTCAAATACTATAGATTTAATATCTCTTTTAATAGCGCATATACATAATTCAAAAACTCAAAACATAATCACATAGCACATATTAATCACATAGCACAGAATATTTCTCAAGTTTCCAAATATTCTCAATGGTGTTTAAAAATATTTAATATCTCATGTCTCAACTTTCTCAAATACTATAAATTTAATGTCACTTCAAATAATACATATTCAAAATTCACACTTTAAACAAATAATAACATATAATACGAGGAAATCATTTTGGATCGGTAGAGAAACTTACCTCGATTCACGATAAATCCTACTTGAAGCATTTATCTTGGTCTTCTCCAAATTCACCTTCTAAGATACTAGTATTAAATTTCTAGAATTAGTAATTTATTCTATTTTTTGCTATCTTACCCAATTTTCCACCTTTCAGCAAATGGTTGACTTATAAGGTTGAGATCAATTGGTCCAGTTTTATTTATATCTATCTGCTTCCTATATTCCGTTAACCGGCTACCGGCCCAAGTAAACCACGTAGTATATCTTTAGTGAAGCCTTTTATTAATTTAATCATTCATTTGATAAGCCAATTAAATTAACAAAATACCCTAACCCTCTTAAATTAACAAAATAGCAACACAAGAGTTATACGAAGGTTTGTCTTCTTCGTTGATCATGCAGCCCGCCGTGCGAGTGTCTTTGGTGGTTGGTTTCAGAAATAATACGGAGTAGCTAGGACATATATTTAAGATATTTCTTCATATGTAATCAATTGTATTGCACTACTAGCTTTCAAGCCCGTGCGATGCACGGGTAGTACATAATCTAGCTAATTGTATATTTGATATTTTCGAAATCATATACGAAGTATAATTAATAAAAGTAATTCAAATTTATATGAAAAATATTTAAATTGGACTTCTACATAAGCATCTCAACTAAACATAATGGTTATAAACCCGATTTTAAAGAATTCATACAAAGTTTCTTAATTAATTTCACATCCTCTATATTACTTCATTAAGCATCTAAAAAACTATTTTTAAATATTTCTCATTCAACATGTGGTATGAAATAAGTATTGTATTTGTAAATTTATTAGTGAACTCTTACTTTGTACTGAAATGTAAGGGTATTTTAATTCATTCGTCATTGAAATGTAATAAAGGGATATTCTTTTACTAGTTTCGTCATGTTCATTTTTACCTTGGTCGGGAAGATGTCTATGATGATGATGATGATGATGATGATGATGATGATGGTGATGATGGTAGTATAATAATTAATAATAATAATAATAATAAAAATAATAATAATAATAATAATAATAATATATAATAATAATAATAATAATAATAATAATAATAATAATAATAATAATAATAATAATAATAATAATAATAATAATAATAATAATAATAATAATAATAATAATAATAATAATAATAATAATAATAATAATAATAATAATAATAATAATAATAATAATAATAATAATAATAATAATAATAATAATAATAATAATAATAATAATAATAATAATAATAATAATAATAATAATAATAATGAATAATAATAATAATAATAATAATAATAATAATAATAATAATAATAATAATAATAATAATAATAATAATAATAATAATAATAATAATAATAATAATAATAATAATAATAATAATAATAATAATAATAATAATAATAATAATAATAATAATAATAATAATAATAATAATAATAATAATAATAATAATAATAATAATAATAATAATAATAATAATAATAATAATAATAATAATAATAATAATAATAATAATAATAATAATAATAATAATAATAATAATAATAATAATAATAATAATAATAAATAATAATAATATAATAATAATAATAATAATAATAATAATAATAATAATAATAATAATAATAATAATAATAATAATAATAATAATAATAATAATAATAATAATAATAATAATAATAATAATAATAATAATTAATAATAATAATAATAATAATAATAATAATAATAATAATAATAATAAATAATAATAATAATAATAATAATAATAATAATAATAATAATAATAATAATAATAATAATAATAATAATAATAATAATAATAATAATAATAATAATAATAATAATAATAATAATAATAATAATAATAATAATAATAATAATAATAATAATAATAATAATAATAATAATAATAATAATAATAATAATAATAATAATAATAATAATAATAATAATAATAATAATAATAATAATAATAATAATAATATAATAATAATAATAATAATAATAATAATAATAATAATAATAATAATAATAATAATAATAATAATAATAATAATAATAATAATAATAATAATAA